TGCTCTGTGCCTGAACAATCAAGTGAGAGTGAGCTCACCCCATCAGCCCTGACATAAACACCCCAGTTACTGGAAGTAAGTAGCACCAGGAGGCTGCACCGCATCACACCACAACACCACCCCAACCACAGCACACCAACCACACCACAGCACCCCAACCACATCACATCACACCAACCACAACACATCAACCACATCACACCAACCACATCACACCACAGCACAGCACACCATACCACAGCACACCAACCACACCAACCACACCACACCAACCACACCACATCACACCAACCACAGCACAGCACACCAACCACATCATACCAACCACATCACACCAACCATATCACACCAACCAACTACATCATGCCAAACACATCACACCAACCAGACCACATCACACCAGACCACATCAACCACATCACAACAACCACACCACACCACACCACAGCTCACCAACCACACCACAGCACCCCAACCACACCACAGCACCCCAACCGTATCACATCACACCAACCACAACACATCACACCACATCACACCAACCACATCACACAACAGCATACCACATCAACCACATCACACCAACCACATCACACCACAGCACAGCACACCATACCGCAGCACACCAACCACACCAACCACATCACATCAACCACACCACACCAACCACACCACATCACACCAACCACAGCACAGCACACCAACCACATCATACCAACCACACCACACCAACCATATCACACCAACCAACTACATCATGCCAAACACATCACACCAACCAGACTACATCACACCACACCACATCAACCACATCACACCAACCACACCACACCACACCACAGCTCACCAACCACACCACATCACACCAACCACACCGCAGCACACCAATCACATCACACCACACCCTATCAGACCAACCACACCACATCACACCACATCACACCAACCACACCACACCAACCACACCACACCAACCATATCACACCAACCAACTACATCCTGCCAAACACATCACACCAACCAGACCACATCACACCACACCACATCAACCACATCACAACAACCACACCACACCACACCACAGCTCACCAACCACACCACATCACACCAACCACACCGCAGCACACCAATCACATCACACCACACCCCATCAAACCAACCACACCACATCACACCACATCACACCAACTACATCACACCAACCACACCAACCACATCACATCAACTNCCAACCACATCACACCACAGCACAGCACACCATACCGCAGCACACCAACCACACCAACCACATCACATCAACCACACCACACCAACCACACCACATCACACCAACCACAGCACAGCACACCAACCACATCATACCAACCACACCACACCAACCACACCACAGCACCCCAACCACATCACATCACACCAACCACAACACATCACACCACATCACACCAACCACATCACACAACAGCATACCACATCAACCACATCACACCAACCACATCACACCACAGCACAGCACACCATACCGCAGCACACCAACCACACCAACCACATCACATCAACCACACCACACCAACCACACCACACCACACCACAGCTCACCAACCACACCACATCACACCAACCACACCGCAGCACACCAATCACATCACACCACACCCTATCAGACCAACCACACCACATCACACCACATCACACCAACCACACCACACCAACCACACCACACCAACCATATCACACCAACCAACTACATCCTGCCAAACACATCACACCAACCAGACCACATCACACCACACCACATCAACCACATCACAACAACCACACCACACCACACCACAGCTCACCAACCACACCACATCACACCAACCACACCGCAGCACACCAACCACACCGCAGCACACCAATCACATCACACCACACCCCATCAAACCAACCACACCACATCACACCACATCACACTAACCACACCACATCACACCAACTACATCACACCAACCACACCAACCACATCACATCAACCGCACCACACCAACCACATCACACCAACCACACTGACTACACCAACCGCATTGCACCAACCACACCACACCACATCATCTCATGCTATACCATAACACACCATAACACACCATACCACACCACACCACACTATACTATATCACACCACATCACAGTTTACCACACCACAACAACCACATCAATCACAGCACAACACACCATACCACACCAACCATGACAACCACAGCACCGCACAGCACACCACACCATGCTATACCACAACACCCACACCAACCACACCATACCACACTATAGCACACTATACCACATCACTCATACTAACCACACCACACCACACTATACTATATCAGACCACACCACACTATACTACATTACACTATACTATACCATGCCACACCACACCTCACTATACCACACCACACCATACCACACCCTATATACCATCCCATATCACACTGTACCACACCACACCACTCCATATTGTATCCCACACTAGACCACATCGTAATATATCACACCACACCACACTGTACTATACCACATGACACCATACCACACTGTACTACACCACACCACACCCACCACACCAGCCACATTATACCAGCCACACCAACAACACCATACCATATCCTACCACACCACACCACACTACCATCCCACACCACACCAACCAGACCACACCACACCCACTGCACCATGCCATGTCGCTATACCACACCATGCTATACCACACCATGCTATATACCACACCACACTGTACTATGCCATATCCTACCCTACCATATCTATCATACCAGTCACATCCTTCTATCTAATTCCTGGCCCCAGGAACAGTGTTGCTAGAAAAGCCAGCACTTGTGCCAAGTGAAAGGTGCCTCAGTGAAACCACCAGACTTAGACACTCTGAAGGACAGAAAGAGAGAAAGCAAAAAGGTCTGGACAGTTTTTCCTCTAATTTCAAAGATTGTCATTTTGTTCCCTTGAAGAACGATCATTCTCCAGGCTAAGTGTGAGGATCACAGATTACAGGATGCAAAATAATACGTATTTTGGTGCCTGTTTGAATTTAAATATTAATAACACCTATTGGAGAAACAAGCAAGTCTACGTCTGCTTTTGTTTATTAACAGCTGTAGTGAAGATGCATAGCAGGGGAGAAGGTGTCCCCAGCTTCAAATATTGGAAATGTGGCCTGCAGGATGTGGACACTCCATGGGGGAGCAAGTAGCTGTCCGGTCAGAGCACGACGAGGCAGACAAGGGGCTTGCTCAGAGAGGAGGACGAGGGTCACAGCAAGCCCACTGGACAGCCACTCCATGCAGTGCTGACTCAGCCTCAGCACGGGCTGGTGGAGAGGCCACCAGAAGACCGTGACCTACATCTTTACACCTGGAACTGAGAAGGCAGCTTGCTCCATGACAGGTGTCGAAGATGCCAGGGCAGGCACCATGCAAGTGACCAGGGCACAGCAGCAGGGCGTGAGCAGGGTCGGGACCACCTGCCCAGCTACAGCCTTCAGCCTTCCCTCCCCATGCCCCGGGTCACTGGGTGGCCCTGCCCAGGTATCTACAGCACAGACTCAGAGACACATGCACAGTAGCGCTTGCCCTGGAATTGTGCAAGTCGGGAAGGCAACTCACACACTCTCTGACCACTTCAGAAATTCTCTCCGGTGTAAACTTCATTCGTGGAGAATAAAAACCCAGCCAACTGCTGAAATGCCACACCCTCCAAGCAAAGCTCACCCTCCAGGTTTCCATAGCCTGAATGAGCTGGAAGCCTCGACGACGAGGGGCGGAACAGCCGCTGGGCTGCCAGGAGCCGAGAGGAAAGAGCGGGCACTTCACAGACAGGGGCCACCCCGGCACAGTTTTGCAGAGAAGGGCTGATGGTGAACGAGGAGACGGTGGCCGGGGCTGAGCTGGCGGTGGGCCATGCAGCGGCCACCCCACCCCGGGGCACCTCTTGATCCGCCTTTCATCTGCCAGTGACAAGTTTCCATTTTGTAAACAGGGATCTACCTTTGAGGATGAAAACCACATGAGTGGTGCCCTGAAGTGTGCGGTGCTCGCAGGGGCAACAAGCGTTGGCATTGGACGCTGGAGGAAGCTGCAGGCCCAGCCCGCGTCCTCCGGCCTGGCTGTAACCTCGTCGGACGTCTCAGAGGTCAAGTGTGCTGACAGCCTCAGAGGCTCAGGTGGCATTGTGAGATGATGCTGAATTTTGGCAAACAGCATCTGTCCTGTCTGGACATTTTGCACTCAGCAAGAAGAGTGTGACCGAGGGGCGCCGACAGGCTGCTCCTTACGAGGGAGACACGGTCCACGCTGTCCTGCAGGGCATCGGCATTCCCCACACGTGCAGGGCCCTTGCCGCCCCTCAGCTGTCCCCAGCCAACACACAGCGCATTGTTTACCCGGCTGTCACTCCTTCCGGAATGCAGACTGGCGGCGGCCACAGTGACAGCTTTGGGAGGAGCCCCTCACGGGTCCTGCCTGCTGCCCCACCACTGACAGCCGCACCCCCTTCCTGGTGAGAGGCGCCCCTCCCCATCACAGCCTTGGGGGCGCAAGCCCAGCCCAGCTGCCCCCACTGCCACTTCTAGATGGGCAGGGGCCGGCAGGGCGCGGGGGGGAAGAGCCGAGGACATGGGAGGGAGCCCGGCCCGCGCCAGACCCGGTTCCCACAGGGCACGGCGGCACGTCCCGCAGGACGGCTGTCGCCTGCACTGACAAAATGAGTCGACGAGCCGTGCCCGCAGCTAATTAGCGTGATCAACATCAAGCCAGCCAGCGAGCAGACAGAGCCGAGCCAGGCGGCCCGAGAACCTCCCCCCAGGACGGAGCACGTGCCCAGACCGCCAGCTCTCTAGCCAGCCACACTCCACCATGAACAGGGGTGGCAGCCCTCGGCGTGGCCCAGGTGTGGCCCAGTCCCAGCCGGCAGGGCTGCCTGGAGCTGGTGGCCCCCAGGGGCCAAATACTCACCATGAGCACTGCAAAGTTAGCGAAGCGTGAGCGCCGGATGGAGGGTGTCGCCGGCTGAGGCGGTCATGTGGCGCCCTTTTCCCCATCAGCCTCCATGGCCATCCAGAAGGTCAAAGTCTCAGACAGCAGCTGAGGTACCTTGGGGTGCCCGTGCTGGGGCGGGTGTGGGTCTCGAGGTGGCAGCCACCTGCGGAGACAGCGTGTTGTCAGAGGCGTGGGGTGGAGGGTCCCGCCTGCGCCTGCAGTGTGCAGCCCCCACCCATCCCAGGGAGTGGCAGGAAGCTTGCCCCTTCCCAGCTCCCCTCCACCCAGGCTAGCCTGCAGGAGTCGGCTGGCTCAGGCTCTGTCCGGGGCATGTGGAGGTTCCGGGTGACAGGCGGGGGGTCCTGAGTCTCAGGGACTTTGGACAGAATGTGCTGACGGCCAGACACTGTCCTGCTCGGGAGCACCTGCGTCTCCATATTTTGAAAACTGGTATGCTGCCCAGCCCAGCCAAGAACTAAACTCAGTCGCTCGCCACCGCACAAAGCCAAGTACACACGTCTGTCAGCGGAAGTCAAGAGACTCAAACAAGCCGCAAATGAACCTCCCAACCAAGGTGCGGCCAGACCAGGTGGGCGGAACCGTGCGCCGCCCGGACGTGGCCGGGCCTGGGGCTGGCGTCCTCCCCACACGCGGCTGTCGCCTGCGCCCTCTCAGCGGGATGTCAGCTGTGGCTCTGCACCGGGCAGCCTTAGCCGAAAGTTACTCAGAATCTGCTTCCCAAAGAGCAGGAGGCGCCTCGCCCCCAGGGGGGCGTTTTTGCCCTGCTGGGTGGCCGCCGCAGCCAGTGGCTCCGACCCTCGCCTCCCCCAGGCAGGTCCCACTGCTGTGTCCCTGCCCGAGGGCCCACCCGTCGCTCAGACCCAGAACGACGAAGCCCAACTTCTCACCTATTTCGGCCAAAGCAGCTGGACAGGCAGCAGTCTCCTCGCGCTGCCCTTTGCTGGCCAGGCGGGGCGGGTGGCCTGTGCCGGGCCACCACGGTCTTCCATCCCGGAGGGTGGCAGGCGGCGGGCGGCGGGCTGGGGCGTGTGAGGGCAGCTGTCAACAGATTGCAGAGCTGCGGCGGCGAC